CCATGCCTTTAAACTATCCTCTTTTAGCCTCTATGATGCTACAGTATTCCTCCTCTTCTCCCTGACTTAGGATATTTTCTTTTAATTCTACTGGTTTATCTAATATGATCCCACAATCTCATTCCCAGAAGACATATTTAATATAATTATATCTTATCTATATTTAACTAGGGAAAACAGAGGTCGAGATAATAGCAGCTTACCCACATTTTCAACTAGACATTCCTCTTTTCAAGACTTAAAACTCACTATGACCCAAACTGAATAGACTAAAAAATACGTATATATTTTTACAACTCTTGCATTCTATCTTCACCTTCAAATTACTAAATCCTGACAGTTCTATTATACATCCTAAGAAGTCAAGGTGAAGGCAATTCCTAAATATAAATCAAAAGTGGTCTTAGTGAAAATCACTGTCCCCTAAGAGTAATTTACACAATTCATGTGACCAAACTCTATATCATCACGTATAATAAGATCCAAGTTTCACATAGAAAAGGCTATTTTTATAATGTTTATAAAACAGCTCTTTCTCCAATCATCCTTATGGACTCTTCCTCTAGTAGATATATAAAGGATATCTAATGGTCTGAAATTTATGATGTGTTATGTAAACATTAGAAAAATACTGCCAAAACCAAATTTCAATGAGTAATCTGTCTGAGTAGCGTGAACAAAGATTGAGTGTCACTGTTAATTTTCTTTTAAAATGCATTTATTAGGGTAGCTTGCCCCCCTGGGAAAATGTCCTTGATGAACTATCACATTTAAAATCAAAGAAAAAATTTAAAATCTTTCAAAATTAAGCCCAGACATTATAAAAATTAGAGCAGAAGCACTTAAACCTCTGAGCATTAGATTCATGTAAAGCTCCTTTGGCTTGCCAAAGATGATTCTTTTAAGATGAACATCAGGTGGAAACTCTGGGGTCGTGGAGGGCTTTTCTAGTTACTGCTATGGCCGTTAAGATTTTGATAAGTCTAAATTTTGCACTTCTGGATGGTGCCGTTTAGAGTATAGAAGACCAACAAATAGCTCACGTCCTTGTTTTAAGATCACTGGCTTCCAACCACTCTTCCCCACTGTCCAAAGTGTGATAAGGGCTTTCCCAAGACTTTGTGAAAGAGGTAAACTTCAATTACTGTAGCTATAAAATTTATGAAGTTTTCACTAAAAAATGCTAAGCCCGAGTAACAGCTTCTAGTACACCCGTACATTCTTTCACATGGAAAAGTCACAAATTCAAAATGAGAAAGATTCTTAAGAATTTAGGGGGAACTTTTTCTTACCGTAGCAAAGAGAAGACATCGTAAGAATTGCGAACACAGTTCTGATCCACCTTAAGAAGAATATTCTTCTGAGCATTTGAATAACCCTGAAAGACATTAATCAACAAGTAATCAAAATGAAACAAAATCAAATCTGTATGAGTTAATTATGCTTGCCTTTTTAAAAATATGACTAAATATCTGAGTTTATTTAAAATTTTAGAGATTTCAAGAAATTAAATATAATTTCCATGTAACTGAAGTCTAACCTTTCAGGCAAGCGAATTTAAAATAAATTTCTTTCCCAGTTTCCCACAGAAACAATGTTTCACATTATAAATTGTGGTGAACTTCTCCAAGAAGCTTCAGAAATTCTTTTAACATATTATGTGACTGAAGAAGAGTATTAACAGTAATATTTCAACTATGCCTAGCCATCATGTATAAATAATGTTTATTTGGGGAAAAGGAATTCCAAGTTTTAATCAGGAATGTAAGAAACAAATATTTCCACTCAGAGGTACAAAAGAGTAAGGAAGGTTTCTAAAGAGAACATACACAACGGTAGAATGAATTGGACATAATTTTCCTATGTTCATATACAAAAACACAACCAGGGGGCTGGGGTTGGGGCTCAGTGGCAGAGCACTTGCCTAGCATATGAAGCCCTGGGTTCAATCCTCAGCACCACATATTTTATTTGTTTATTATTATTTTATTTGTTTATTAACAAATAAAATAAAGACATGCTGTTCACCTACAACTACCAAAAAAATTAAAAACAAACACACGACCAGTAGAACTCCACATCACATTCAACCACAAGAATGGGCTCTAATAAAATAAGTTATACTCCATATATATATAATATGTCAAAATACACTATAATGTCATGTATATCTAAAAAGAACAGAGGCTGGAGTTGTAGCTCAGTGGTAGAGCACTTGCCTAACACATACAAGGCACTGGGTTCAATCCTCAGCACCACCTAAAAATAAATTAAAAAAAAAAAGTATTGTGTCTATCTACAACTAAAAAATTAAAAGAGGAGGAGGAGGAGGAGGAGGAGGAGGAAGAGGAGGAGCAGCAGCAACAACAACAACAACATAGCACAATTCCATAAGAAAAGGACAGGTATCTCGCCATCCAAAAAAGGCAGCATAAATACTAGTTAGGAAAAAAAGACTGTAGACCCAGGCCATCAGGCTTCCAATTTGAGACCTTAATACACCAGTTTCATGATCTTAACTAAGTTCTCCTCAGTTTAATATTGGTTTCTTCCCCTTGTAATACAGAATTCTAGTAGTATCTCCCTAACAAATGTGGGAAGTAAAAGAATTAATATTTCTGAAATGAAAATACTATATAAGTGCTTGCTATACTGCTAGTATAAACATCTTTTTTTTTAAAGATTATGTTGCTCAAAGAGAGAAAGAGAAAGGAAAAGGGGGGGGGACAAGTGAAATTCTGTCAAAATAGAAGAAACATCAGTGGAATAGAAACAGGGAGGGAGGAAAGACAGAGTAAAGGAAGAACAGTGGAATGAATCGACCTAACTTTTCTATGTACACATATGAATATGCATCAGTGAATCTCACCATCATGTACATCCTCAAAACAATAATTAAAAAAAAAAAAAGTAAACAGCAGAATAATCAGCAGAGGGAAGAGAACGGGAAAGGGAAGAGGAGTTACTAGGTGCTAAATTAGAGCATATTATATTCCGTGCTTTTATAATTATGTCAAAATGAATCCTAATATTATGAATAACTAAAAAGAACCAATGAAAAATGTGGAACTAGAAAAAAGATTGAAAATCTCATAAAAATAAAAAGATTGTCTAGCTCAGACATTAAAAAAATGTTACTAATAAATGCTTGTTAATAAATTGGACAACTTAGATCACACTAACTCCTTAAGAAAACACAGACTGTGAAAACTGACATATTATGAAAAAAGAATATCTGACTAGTACTGTATCAATTTCTTAGTGAATTATCAAAACTCTTCACACATACAGACTCCCACACACAAAGTCCAAATTCAAATTGTTTCACTGATAATTCTATCAAACATAAAGAAAGAACATCAATTTCACAAAAGCCCTTCAGGAAGCAGATAAGGAAACAATTTAAAACTTTTAAGATCAGAATTACTAATACCAAAATTTGTCAAAGACATTGCACACACATACACATACATATATACATACAGGAATCTCTCATGAACAGAAACACAAAATCCCTAGCAAAATGTTAATAACAAACTGAACCAACAATATATCATCAGGATAAAAAAAAAATTATCACGGCACAGGGCGTGGTGGCATATACCTGTAATCCCAGTGGCTTGGGAGGCTGAGGCAGGAGCATCACGAGTTCAAAGCCAGCTTCAGCAAAAAACAAGATGCTATACAACTCAATGAGACCCTATCTCTGAATAAAATATAAAACAGAGCTGGGGATGTGGCTCAGTGGTTGAGCACCCCTAAGTTCAATCCCTGGGTGCCACGAAAGAAAAGAAAAAAAAACTAACAAAATCAGATGAATACATGAAACAACTATCATAAGCCTAATGTGATAAACACACAATTATAAAGATGCAATTTGTGACAACAATAACTTAAGGGTGGGAAAATAGAGCTATATAGAGAGAGGAAAGTTTGTATACTATTAAAACTAAGCTGGTATCAATTTGAACTAGAATGTTATAAATTAAGACGTTAACTGTAATCCCCAAGGCAACCACCAAGAAAAAACTAAAAAACATATACTAAAAGAAATGAAAAAGGAATTAAAATGTTACATGAAAAAAATATCTAATTCAAGAGAAGTTGGTGATGGAAAAAATGAGGAACAAAAAAGATATAAGAAAACAAACATCAAAACTGCAGAAGCCCTTCTGTATCTGTAAATACATTATCTATAAAAATGACGACACACTCCAATTAAAAGGCAGAGATTGAATCCAGTACAGAGGTGCATACTGTATTCCCAGCTACTTGGGAGACTGAGCAGGAGGATGGCAAGTTCAAGGCCAGCAGAAGGACGGCAAGTTCAAGGCCAGCCTTGACAATTTAGCAAGAGCAAGGGATGTAAATAAAAAGGAGGGTAACTCAATGGTTAAGTGCCTTTGGGTTAAACCTCCAGTACTGAAATGGAGGGGGGTAAGATTGGCAGGATAGATTTTTTTTTTTAATGATCTACTATATGCTGTCTCAAGAGACTTACTTCAGAAACAAACAAACAAAAAAAGACTGAAAAGAGCTCATATCAGTGCTGAATATAACTCAGTGGTATAAGCATGCACTGGGTTTAATCTCCAGCACAAAAAGAAAGAAAAAGTCAGTCAGTGATTGAGACAGTCCAGGGGGTGGGGTGTCACATGCCTGTAAACCCAGCAATGTTGGAAACTGAAGACAGGAAGATCACAAGTTCAAGGCTAGACTCAGCAACTTAGAGAGTTCCTGTCTCAAAATAAAAACAAAAAAGGACTGGGGGATGTAGCTCAAAGATAAAGTGTCCCCGGTTTAATCCCCACTACCAAAAAAAATAAAATAAAGGCAGAAATACATGGAGACATCAACAGTCCACTTTTAACAATGGATAACACAATTAAACAAAAGATAAACAATAAAAGACACAAATAACACTGTTACCACACTTAACAGACACATGCAGAAGCCTCCATTCTCCTCAGTTGCATGTGGGATGTCCTTCAGGGCAGATCATATGTTCAGATACGAGGCAAATCTCAATATCTTTCAAAAAACTGAAATCATACAAATTATCCTCTCTGACCACAGTGGAATAAAACTAGAAATAAATAATTAGAAGAAATTTGTGGGGAAAAGCATAAATGTGCAAAGTAAACATTCTTGGATAATCAATAGATAAGAGAACAAATCACAAGGTAAATTTTAAAATGCTTTGAATTGAATGAAAATTAAAACACCAGTTCAAAACTTACAGGATCCAATGAAAAAGTGCTGAAGGGAAATTCACAGCTTCAAACATTTATATTTAAAAAAAAGAAAGAGCTCATATCAGTAATCTACCTTCCACCTTAAGACACCAGAAAGAAAAGAAATTAAATGCAAAGGGAAGAAAAAAGGAAATATAAAGATTAGAGCAGAGTTCCACAAAATAAGAGAATATAAAAACAATACAGAAAAATCAATGGAATCAGAAGTTAGCTCCCTGAAAAGATCAACAACCAGACATCCTCTTAAGATAGACTAAACCAGAGAAAAAGAAAGAAGACTCAAATCTCTAAAACCAGGGATAGAAGTGAAAGCATTATTTCCACTCTGACAGAAATAAAAAGGAGTATATAAGAATACTATGAACAAATGAAGCAGACATAATGTTCCCATGTTCATATGTGAATACACAAGCAGTGAACCTCCACATTATGTACAACCAACAAATAGGATCTTAATTAGAATAAGTTATAATCCATGTATGTATGTGTCAAATATACTCTATTGTCATGTATATCTAATTTTAAAATTTTTTAAATTTTGATGTATATCAAAATTTGATGTTTTGTAAATTTTTAATTTTGATGTATATCAAATTTAAAAATTTTATAAAATACTATGAACAATTATATAACAAATCACATGAGTTAGAATAAATAGAAATTCCCAGGAAGACAAATGCTATCAAAAATGGCTCAAAAAGAAACAGAAAATCTGAACAGATCTATAACAGATAAAGGGGCTAAATCAGTAATCATAACGCTATCAGCAAACAAACAAAACAGAACCAGATGCTTTGACTGTAATTTGAAGAAAAAATATCACCAGTCTCAAAGTCTTCCTAATAAAAAAAAAAAGAGAAACACTTCTTAGCACATTCTATATAACCAGTACTACCCTAATATCAAAGCCAGAGAAGAACATCACAACAAAACTATAGACCAATATACAAGGATCTTTCACAAAATACTAACAGAACTAATCTAGCATCATGGTAAAATGATTATACCATCTGATCTATTCTGGGCATATACCCCAAAAGAATTGAAAGCTAGGATTTGAAGAGATATTTGTACAGCTACGGTCACGGTTGTATTATCCACAATTGTCAAAGGGAATAGAAGC